TACAAGGAAGATTAAGTGGTCTATGGCTTTTCTTAACATAGCCAAAATCAATAATGTGAGATTGCTTCCTCTTAATGTTTAGGAATTTATGTGTCCAACTTGTATTAGTGTTAAGTACTCTTTCCTGCCAATACCCATTTCTACACATTTTTTTAGTTGTTTATCTCATATCCACAGTTAGTCTTTATAGCCGAGAGTACAAGAAGATGGCTCTCCTGTTTTCTTGATCAATTAAATGTTAATTACCTGACATTAAACTGATTTTTCTACAAAATTTGTTCTTAATATCTTGGATCTCCTGATCCTCACCCTCTCATTTACTTTCATGGCTTAAGCAGGAACAGTCTGCCCTTCTCCTGAATGATAACTTTCAAAATTGTGGTATCATCTGCCTTTGCTTGTTGGATGAATCAGTGAGTCCTACTGTCCTTAGATAAACGGTTGTCAGATTTAGCAAATAAAAACATATGATGCCTAAGACTTTTGAATAAATAAGGAATAATTTTTTTTCAGTATAAGCAAGTTACAAATACTTTGGGGATAGATATATTTAATCTAAAAAATTACTTGTTATTTATCCGAAATTCATATTGAATGACACATCCTTTATCTTAGGGGGCAACTCTAGATCTAGGCTCCTGGGAACCCATGTATGGGCCCCCAGCTTTAAAGACTGCCTACCAGTGGTCTCTTCAAGGAGGAGAGTCCTTGGCACCAAACAAACATCTCCATTCATACCTGCACACTTTTTATAGAGCACGCACCAGGTACCTGAAACTCTGAAATCTCCTTCCTACAGTGACCCGCATAGGCTGTCAGGGCCTCCAAACTTTTCCCCAAGACAATCTTTTTGGAGGCTGGCAGTATGGCAAAGAGGCAGCTGATGGAAGAGGGTGGATGGATATGGGATATGTTGTAAGGTGTCTGTATCCAGAGGAGTGGGCCAGGCTCACACTGATGTAGGACAGGGCAAAATGGAAAACAGAAGAGAAAGTCAGGGCTCCATTTGTACTCTTGCCCCCAATATGAGGGTGGGCCTGAAGAAAACATCCTAATATCCATACATTTTGTGTGATTTCTGCTGGTTATCATTTTGAGGTATGTGTATAAGGAAGGCAGAGTGTAGAGGTTTATACTTATATAACCTTTATTTATTTATTTATTTATGCCAGAGATCAAACCCAGGGCTTTTCATATGTTAAGTGCATGATCTAAGTGCATGATCACTGAACTTTGAATTACATTCCCAGCCTCTAAATTCTGTCTGTCCTCTTTAATACTTTTACTTGCTTCAATCCATCTGTTTCTTGTAGTCTACAGTTTCTTGTAGAAATTTCATCAATGAGTGAGTGTTTTGAAAAATAAAAATAAAAAAACCCATGGGGCTGGGGATGTGGCTCAAGCGGTAGCGCGCTAGCCTGGCATGCGTGCGGCCCGGGTTTGATCCCCAGCACCACATACAAACAAAGATGTTGTGTCCGCCGATAACTAAAAAAAAAAAAAAAAATATTAAAATTCTCTCTCTTCTCTCACTCTCTCTTTAAAAAAAAAAAAAAAAAACCATGTCACCCACCAATAACAATAGTAACACAGCAAAGTAAATCTAGCGTCTCTCTCTTGTTCTGAACCTTTTAAGTGTGGCTCAGCTAACTGCACCCAGGTCCTTTGTTTAAGTGCTAACCGTTCTCCAGAGATTCCTCAGAAGGATATTAGCTCTGTTCATTTTAGAAGAAACAGAGTTGTAAGTGAAGGGTTCTGGTTGTCAGGGGGGGAAATTAATTAGAAGACAAAAGAGAAAAGCAAGCTTTTGTGGAAATATTTATGTGTTAGGTTGTTCATAGAACAAAAAGAACTTATTTAACCTTACAGTGAAAATTAAGGTACTATTTGCCTAAGGCTCAGGATTGCATGAACCCATCTTTGTGGATATATGCCAGAAGGGGATTTAAAATATCCCCTCTTTATCAGGATTGCTTTCAGCTCCATGTAACAGGAATCCAACCAACTACAGTGGCTTAAAAGAGTGGAATATTTGTTTTTCTCCTGTAGGAACCAAATCTGTGATGCCATTAAATACTCATTTATTTATTTATTTTTGCCTTTCTGCTCTGCTTGCCATCTTTACCTTGTGTCTTTCTTCTTCATATTTGCAAGATGGCAGCTGCTGCTCCTCCATGCAGGAAGGGCAAAGGGGAAAATAATATTGTGGAGTCTGTTTTCATTATAAATATTTACTTGAAGATTCATTTTTTTAAAAAAATATTTTTTGTTGTAGATTGATATAATACCTTCATTTTATCTATCTGTCTATCTATTTTTTTTAATGTGGCACTGAGGATTGAACCCAGTGCCTCACACGTGCTACACAAATGCTCTATCACTGAACCACAACCCCAGCTCCTGGAGATTCCTACTGGCAAACTTTGCTTACATCTCATTGGTTATTAATGACTTAGAGAGCTACCCCTAGCAGTAAGGGAGTCTGAAGTGTTCAGTGCGTCAGCTGGGCACATTGCTTTCCCAAACAATATTTGGGTTCTTTCAAGAAGGAAAATGAGAAAGCTGCCATGTGTGAACAAGTACATAAACTCTTCAAAATATAACATTTTTGCTTTTCAACATTCATATAAATCAAATCCATCACTACATAGTGAATTGAACGGTGTTTTAGCCAATACTCATTTTCAAGTGTCATTCATTTCTACACAAATTAGTTCATAGCCTGAGAGATTGTCTTTCCAGATGTTTATCTCCATGAAATAGATGGAGCAGTAGCTAAATCAAGAATTCTTTTTTTGTGTGTGTGGTGCTGGGGATTGAACCCAGGGCTTTGCATGTGCTAGGTAAATGTCCCCTCTCTGAGCTATGCCCCAGCTCCATCTAGTCAAAATTCTTTAACACATTATAGAATTTCCTTCCAATGCCAAAATTTATTTTAAAATATATTTATATTAAGAATACTTATGTATTTATTTACTTTAGTACCAGGAATTTTACTCAGGGGTTCTTAACTACTGAGCCAAGCCCTTTTATTTTTTATTTTGAGGCAAGTTCTTGTTAAGTTGTTAATGGACTCCCTAAGTTGCTGAGGCTGGTTTTGAACCTGAGATCCTGCCTCAGCTTTCTGAGCTGTTGGAATTATAGGTCAGCACCACTGTGACCACAAAAATATATTTTTTAAAAGCATACCCTTTCACTTCTTTGTTACAAATATTGGATTGGTAGCAGAGACAGTATACCTTGTTATACAATATACCTTACCCTGAAAGCTAAAATTACAACACCTATTTAGTGTGTGTGTGTGTGTGTGTGTGTGTGTGTTTCTGTCACTACAACCAAAATGTCTGAGATAATCAACTTATAGAGAAAAGGTTTATTTTGGTCCACAGTTTGTGGAGGTCCCAGTCCATGATCAGTTGACCCTGTTGTTTGGGCCTGGCAAGGTACCACTATCATGGAGGGAGCTCACAACAACATCATGGTCAAGAAGAAAAAGAGAAGAAGGAGCTAAGGTCCCACTATCCCCTTCAGGGGCATGTCCACCTCCATCTAATGACCTCCTAATATGGCCCACTTCCTAAAGGTTCTAACATTTCCCTATAGCAGTACCATGGGACCAAGCGTTGAACACATGGTCTTTGGGAGACATTCAAGATCCAGATTATAACATATGTGTGTAATTACAGGGATGCAAAGATGACCAAAATGATCCTTGTCCTCCGGAACTTGTAACATAGTTGAATTGTGAAACAGATAAAACTGTGACAGGCTGGAGCCAGGGACAGCCATCAGGATTAAGTGCTAGAAGAGACAAGCCAGGTGCAGTGAGAGGAGTCAATACCATACCGAGTTGGGGTAAACAGAATACACTTCAACAAAGAGAAGACTTTGGGGAGATTCTGACCAGAAGCAGCTACACTATACATACAGTGCAATAGTCTATAAAGAGAAAGCAAGGAGCCACTTTCCATAACTAGGAGTAATTTTAAAATATACTAACAAAAGCTTAGCGTCTGAGGAGTACTATACAATGCTCAGAGCTGAAGGTCAAGAGCCTCAGAGTCTCCACGGGTAACACAAAGGCACTCGCATCTCAGATGGCTATTGAAATTGAGGTACCATCTTAGGACCTATATAATCAAAATGCGTGGAAGAGGAGTAACCTGTAAAACACCTTGAAAACAGAGTGCCCATGCTGATAATTGAAAGTATTGTCATAGGAACTTCAAACAGACGTTTGATCAATGAACATGAAGCCTAAAAATGCATGTCTCAAAGATCCCTGCTGATATTTTCTGCCCAGTGGTTGATTAATTTCATTTAATTCACTTGAGTGTTGTCTCCAGTCCTGCTACTCAAAACACTCACATTCTTATGACATGAAATTCTTCCTAATTGGTCACCTAAAAAAATCCGTAGATTCTATGAAAAGAAAGGACTATTATTTTCCAGAGATCTTTTGTAATGTTCGCCTCTGCTGGTTTTTGACCTAGTTAGTGAAGATATCACAGGGTATTGAGAATATGGAGACTAAAGGGGAAAAAAGAGCCACTGGCATTTCCAAAGACCCTTCCTGTGGTTTCTACTCTACAAGTGCATGAGAACAGGTGCTCCCAGAGGCGGAGAAAGGGCACCTGCAAAGCCCCGGAGGAAACTTTTGATTTTTATAAATAACTTGGTGGAGCCACACGAACGCCATCTCGGTTCCCAAGCCCTCTCCACGCGGCCTCCATGGTGAGCCTCTCCTCGCGGCCGTCCTCCTCCCTTCTCCCGGTCGATTTCCTGCCCGAGCCCCAGCCGCGACGCGCCCTCCTCGCCGGGCACCGCCCGCCCGCGCCGACGTGGCGGAGCGCACAGGTCGCGGGTCAGGTGGTCGGGTGACGCCCCGGGTAAGCGCTCCCGCCCCGGGCGGGCGGTGCCGCCGCGCCCGACGCCTCAGGGGGTGGGGACTTGGCAGGAGTCGCGGCGGAGGCGAGGAGGAGCTCCGGGCGCGGCGCGGCGCGGCGCGGCTGGCAGGGGCGGAGGCGGACGGGCAGCGGGCGGCAGAGGCGTAGAGGACGCGAGGCGGCCGGCGGGAGACATGGACCGCAGCGAGCAAGGTGAGCGCGCGGCCGCGGCGGGCTCCGCGGCTCCCGGGGCGGGGGCGTTCGGCGGGCGCGGGTTCGGCGCCGGGCTGCGGGGCGGCCGGCCGGGCAGGTGCTGAGCCTCTCCGGCCCGAGCCGCAAGTTGCTTCTCCCGGATCCAGATCCGGCGTCTTGGGGTGGCTGAGCTGGAGGGAGCTGCCCTGGTGGGCGGAATCGGTACTTGGGTATGTGTGAGTGTGTGTGTGTGTGTGTGTGTGTGTGTGTGTGTGTGTGTGTGTGTGTTGGGGAGAAATGGAGAGGGAGGGGAAGGACCTATAGGAAGGAGGGCGAGGGAGAGAAGATTCTGGGATGCAGAGGAGCTGCTGGCCAAGCACCCAACGCTTTGGGCGTACAGTATAGCTAGAGCTTACAAGTGATGGGAACCAGGAACTGGGGGGCTGTGAGTCGTTTTTTTTTTTTTTTTTTTTTTTTGTCCCTCAATAAGGACCTCAGAATGGGCACCTGACTTGTTAAAAGACTTTTTGCCTACTTGGAGTTTAGGTGCTTAGTTAAGATTTTGAGTGGTCTTTGATCCTGTGGCAATGGTTTTGGAAGTAAGACATTTGACATACCAGGTGTTCCCAAATTGTGGAGTGGTGTCTGTGGGTTTAATTTGGGGGGTGGTGGTGTGCGGGAGGGAGCTTTTTATATTGAGGGTTTTCTTTTTTCCAGCAAGGTGAAATCCCACAGGACAGACCCCTTAATTTACCGTAGCTCTATTTTTTAAGATGGTAACTTAAGTGAAATTGCCTTGAAGATAATCCTTCTATGAGGTGTGGTAATATTAGGGCACAATTTTTAGATTTAATTATTGCTTCATCCTAGAGATCTCTCTGCTGATAATAAACCAGACTAACGTAGATATGCATGGCAGGCCTTTAAAAAGATATACAAATGCTAAGAAAAGATAACAAGGTAACATTTGGGAAGTAGGAATAGGAATCATTCCTGTTTTGAGCCTAGACACAACACTTAACCATTTTTGCTTATTTTCTTGCAGTATTTGCCTTCATGATGAGTTTTTATGTAAATAAAACCATATTCCACATATACTGTTTTGTCTTTTACTTCTGATACCTTGTAAGATAGAATCCGTGGAATCCTCTGACACTTGTTTTCCTCCCAACCCCTCAAATTAATTTCACACTTACCATGTGAATGCTTATAAATCTTATGTACAATATGTTTTATACATACACATATTATTCATTATATATGTATCTATTTGATTTATATGCATACATATATTATCTGCTAGATTTTCAGCTTTTGTTTTTGTTTGCGTTTTATGCTAGGGGTGGAACCCAGGGTCTCAGCAATGCTAGGTAAGCTGTATACCACTGAGCCATATCCTCAGCCTGTTTTTAGCTTCTTAAGGTCAGAACATTCCATCTTTGATCATGTGTGGTTGGTTGGGCAGCATGGTGACTTGTACATAGTAGACCCTCAAATGAGTGAAGAAATCTCAACATAGGTTTTATATGTATTGTTAGAAGACTTGGGGGCCACCGTGGCCCCCCAACTCTGGTTTTTAATGTGGGTGATGGCAGAGGTAAACATGTACATGGATATTTGTATACTCATTTGTTTTTAACATAAATTTGCTTTTAACATAAATGAGATTTTTAGAGTAACTGAGCTTGGTACATGCCAAAGTAGTTTAAACAGCTGTTTGATAAAGGTGATTGGACTGATTAGTTTTAATATGTTGTGTGTTCTGCTTTGCGTGGTAACAATTGCAGTATTACTGCGATATTCTAGCTTGCTTACATACTTTCTGTGATTTTATAGAATTTTTTTTTAAAGTTTCTAATTCTAAGAAAGTTTAATTAATCCTTTGGCTTAAGGCAAGTCTATAATATTCAGATGGTGTCTTTGGTTGGTTGAGATATTCATTAGTTAAGTTAGTCCTTGTTTTTAATTGTCCATCCTGGAGGGCTAGGGAAATCCACCTTTTTAATGTGATGGACAATGATGAAGAGGAGTTCCCTGCTTTGGGAAGGTATGTTGGCTTACTCCTATGCTTTGCCATGCTAGATCATATGGCCTTTTCTTAAACTTTTTGCTTCTGTCTGCCTGTCATTTCATCTGTATGTTCTCATGGCATACAGTTAGTGCTCAGCAGTGTGTTGACTGGCTAAAATGTGAGGGAAAGGTATCCAAGAGCAGGTTCCAGTAACGGGAACCTCTGTCTCTCTCCAAATTGATCTCTTGTTTCCCACTGCCTCATGTCTCTTTTTCCCCATTTCTCAAGAAGCAGAACTCTGCGGTTAGGTAAAGAAAGTTGCTGATAAGGCTGTGTTGGGCTTAGTGGATAAGTTTACTTCGAAGGCCTTTGAACTGGTAGCACAGAGGGATCTGTCTTAAATGAATCTGTATCAAGATGTCTGGCTTAAAGTGAACAAGGTGGAATGTTTGAGTTTGATGTTCATTAGCAAACTGTGGTGACTGAGATAAGATTTATAAAACTTTGTGATTGTCTCTTGAATTGTGATGATTTTTTTTCAAATCAAACCAAATCATAAAATTTTTATGATTTCTTTATTTCTTATGTGCCTGAAGTTTTCTTAAATTTGTCTCTTAAAAACCAAAACTCTCATCACAAAGTTAAATGCCCTCTTTCCTTACATGCATTCTTTGTTGAAAATGTCTTGCTTAAACCTTATAAGATCTCAAAATCTGTCCATTGCTGGAAATTTTATTAACAGCTGCAAAGTTTAAAAAAGGGACTCTTTTCTTTGTGTTTTCAGACATGTATTCTAATGTTGTGTTGTAGGAAGACCAGAATATTTTTCTACTTTCTTCTATACCCAGTCCTTATATACAATACTCTGCTTACAGTGAGAGTTCAAAAAACATTCAGTGATTTGAAATACCTTAAACTGCATAATGTCTTTCAATAATTTCTAAGCATTAAGCTAACCGCAGTGCATTTAATGTGTGAGGCGTTTCCCAGTGTGACTGGCTAACTAGAGCATACCTTATGTTGAAACGAAACAAAACTAACAACAACACCCCCCTCCCCAACTCCTGCCTCCTTTTATAGGCTGAATAAATATTTATATGCAAGTATTCTCTTATGTAAGTTTAGTTTAGCATTATTATATTGAAGCTGAGATAGTCACCTAGCCACTAAGAATTTTAATAGTTAGAATTAAAGGGAAAAAAGCCAACTTTATGACTTTCAGAGGATAGGGGAAGATTTCTGAGGCCAAAAACCTGCAGAGGAGAGGCTGCAAGATAATTGCCACTATGATTTCCTCATTGTAATTATGCCTTAGGTATAACACAAATGTGGCATGTCATTTATTTAAAAGTAAAGCATTTATAGAGAAGAAAGGACACCATTGTGAGGGTCTGCTCACAGTCTATGGCTGTGATCTACCTAGGCTATTAATTTCTTTGGTCAACACTCTCGATTTCCATATGGTGCTAATGTCTTTGTTAGCCCTCCTTCACTTCCTGCATTTATTTTTATGCAACAGCTTGCCTAGTCCCTGGAGGAAAAGCTGAGTGGTGGGAGGGGTTGTGATCTCTTAGCAAGATCTCAAAACAGAATAATCTAAGCGTGCAGTAAAAACAAATATTATACATGCACAGTTTAGAACACAATAGAATACCCAAATCCCCCAAACTTCAATGCTCCTGAGCCTTTTGTTGCAGGCTAAGCTTATTTTATTTTCCTGTTGGGGTTAATTATTGCTGCTTTAGTTGTTGACTGTTGTAAAATAGTAAATTGTAAATTGTCTCTCCTCTGAGACATTCCCAAATTTATTTAAACTGGGTGGTTACCAGCTGTGCTGAAACCATAATTTTAGCATGTCTTTTTATCTAAGACAAAAAAGGTAAAAATGATAAAGATATTTAAATTTTAATGAAAGTTCATAAAGAAAATGTTTGAATCTAAAATTACTTTGTTTTTTGTTATCAAGAATAGTTGTCCATTTTAGAAAAATCAATAGTATAGATTCAGAAAAAGAAAATGAAATCACTTGTAATCCTATTCTGGAAAATTATAGTTAACATATTGGTTTGTTTTCATCTGTATAGTTATCCTTTTAAAATAAATCACAAAGCAGTCTTATTGAATGCTCTACATTTAAACTTTTTAAAAAAATAAACTTGATGTATTTTAAAAATATACTTCAACATCATTTGTCTAGTATTTTCAAGTAATTAATGCACTCCATATAAAACTCAAAATGACTGAAAGGGTGTAAAATTTAAATCTCTTTCTCATTCTCATCTCTTGGCTATTATTTCTTTAGATAACAATGCTGTCATAGTTTCTCTGTTCATCCTGAGAGATTCTATGTATGTTTGTATAGATACATATATATACTTAAACATGTATGTATGGCTTATATAAACTAGCATATAAGTTGTTAAGAACCCAACTTTCTTCATTAAATACAGTATTTGTTTTACTGATCACTCAACACAATATTATTATATGGAACGGCTTTTTGTTGTGGTGGTTGTTATGCTGGGGACAGAATCCAGAGCCTTGTATATGTTAAGCAGGCACTCTACCAGTGAGCTATAGCCCAACTTAGAACAGCTTCATTAAAAAAAGAATATTTTTAGTTGTAGATGGACACAATATTTATCTATTTTTATATTAATCAAACCCAGTGCCTCACATGCTCCAGGCAAGTGCTCTACCATTGAGCTACAGCCCTAGCCCCTAGAATAGCTTCATTTTTAATGGCCATTTGTACATGTCTGTTATATATATACTATTTTGTGTCTGCATTAGGCAATTTTTAACCCATTTTGTTGTATCTTCCCAGATGTGAAACACCTATAAAAACTTATATTGAGCAACGAATGATGTCACTTATAGTAACTCTGAAATAATATTTACATATTTATTATGTTTGCAGAATTGAAAGCTTGGGACTCAGTAAGTTAACTTGTTCTCTGCTGATGGGTATTTTAAGTGTGGCTTTATAGGGGAAGGGAAATTTCTTCTC